GGGATGTTCACTGGGGGTACGGGATCTTGACCCATGGCCAAATCGTCCCAGTTGCCTACTGCAAAGCCAGACGTGTGTGTTTTACGGTTGGGTCTCGGGGTTGCTTATATGATCAAAGTTGCGAGACTGTCGACCCAGAAAATGGTTTGTATTTTCTTTTTTTCAGGTACTGGAACGCCCCAGGATATCGGAGCAGACATTTTTAGCCCTTTGAAAACGCCAAAAGCTGGATCACCTGCGCGTCTCGTCTGGTCTCAGTCGGTCTGTTATCTTTTTGAGGGCACTTTTGGTAGTTTTGCAGGGAAACCAATAAGAACACCTCCAGTCTTTGGGCGGTCCCCCAAAAAAGAACATCTCCAAATACTCTAGTATTCTCCGACAAATGAAACCACGATCTCGTGAAGGGGGGCTAGCTTTGGGAGAAGCAATTTCGCCCATGACGAAGGCTTTTCACTGCTGGATTCTGTATGAAACAAAGGGAAACTGCCATGATAAAACGGGGAAAACCCTAACTGGAGGATGTTCCTCCTGCTGCGTGGGGCAGTCTGGGATTCAGCAGCATGACTCGCTTGGCTTGTTGGGAAATCGGACGGCCGCCCGCTCAGGGAAGCCAAGTTGAGGGCAAACATACTGTGCTTGGACGAACTCCTGCGGCTGGTAGGTGGTTTGCCCCACCATTGTAGCATAGGGCTTTTGGCAGTTGGTTTGCCCTATTGTGGCATAGGGTTTCGTTTATCCGACCGGAGCAGGAACTCGTCCATCAGTATGCCTGAGAACTGGAGAACATACGTTTCTCTTTTTGGAGACTGCCCAAAATTGTATTTGTTGGTTTCCCTTTTTTCCAAGCCCAACACAGGTACCAGCTCAAAAACAAACAGCCATACCCAGATGTTAAAGCAGGCACCGACCCACAAAATAATATAGAAAACAAGGCAAGCAGACGACGTTACATGCACCAGCTCCGGCCTTCGCACCGGGGGCCTTTGGGTTGAGGAATACTCGCGGCCTGCCGCCCTGAGAGTCATCACCAACGCCACGGGGGAGGCCGTCAAGGGGTTCGCGCCGAGTCGCGCGGGTCGCGGCGGCCGCCGCTTCCTTTTTTTTGGGCTACGGGGCATGTGTTTTCTTTGGGGTTGGCTCCAAAAAGGGGTTGTATCCTTATTTTTTTGTGGGGTCTGTCTGTTGTTTTGTTTTTTTCTTTGGTTGGTGGGTTGGTTTTGGGAAACCAACAGTTTAATAATTGTTATTTTGTTGTTTTTTGCGTTGCTGTTTTTGTTTTTCTTTGGGTTGGTTCAAAGGGGAACCAACAGCGTTTTGGTTGGATTAAATTTTGCCTGTATGCCCACTTCTAGGTTCATGTGGTTTTGAAGTGCCCAGCCCCATTTTAAGTCTTTGAAGCCCAGTATTCCTTGCTCTGAATGTTTTTGGCGCAGCCCCGTGGCTGTGGCCTGCAGAAAGTCGCACGACTTCGCCGACCCGATATTTATTTTTCTCACGGAACAGAGACATCCTTCAGTATGTACAAGGAAAGGGGTCAATTCCCTTCATGCAAAAGGACAGGGGTAAGTGCCCCTCCACACTCCTCAGTTTTCGGCGTAGTGGGCCATTTTCGGGGTACCATCCTCCTCCGCACTCCTCTCATTGTTTTTTTCTTCTCCGGCCGTTCCTCCCACCTAAACAGGGCTCCTTAAAAGATACATGTTTCCCATTTGAAACATGTTGCTTTTTCAACACCACGATAAACAGGGAACCCACCATGTACAAGTTGCAATGTTCAGGTGTACAATGCATCCGGATCCCTGCTAAACCCACGGCGGTCTCCGCCGCGATTTCTGGCGGGTACCGGGCGGGATTGGATCGAAGGAGGAGCTGATCTGCAGGGCATCCTTGCTGCCGGTGGAGGAGATCCCGTCCCTGGGCCGGAGGCCCTAAGGACGGAGGTTCTGGGGTCGTTAGATGGGGCAAAAATAGGTAACCCCAAAATGGGTTGCAAGGGTTTGGTAAATGGACAGATGGACTAAAACCTGCGGGTACCCTGGTGTTAGATGGCTGTGGTGGTCAAAACCGTTTTGGGATCCCATTTCGGTTGGTAGGTGAATTCACCACCCATTCTAGAACCTATCTCAGTGGTTGGATTGGGATGTTCACTGGGGGTACGATTTGGCTTTTGACCCATGGCCAGATGGGTGTGGTTGTCAAAAATAGGGTAACCCCAAAATGGGGCAAGCCCGGGTAAATGGACACATGAACTGAAACCTGCGGTACTTTGAGGGCTTCATCTTGACTCATAGCCATGTGGGGCCAAGCTATGGGCGTCGGGGCGGTGGGCTGTGGGGGGAGGGGAGGGTCAACCAAACATGGGGCGGGGGTCAAAAGTCAGATCACGTACAGGAGCTGCTACCCCTTGAGGCTTTGGCTTCAGGGAAACCAAACGGAAGCCGGCTCCATGTGCGAAGTCCGCCAGGTTCAGAGACATGGTTCCCCTTCTTCAAGCATCGACTGCTGCGAGTTATTAGTACGTTCCCTCAGGCGAGGTGATGCTGAAAGGGGAGACATGAGGGAGGTGGAAAGTGCGCGAACCTTGACGCCGCAACCAGCTGGCAAGTGGCAAGCTGCGGGAATTTACGGGCTCCAACTTGTTACCCGACTGGCCTACCTGCAAGCATTTCTAGGCTACATGTTTGTTTCTCCATCTGTGGATTCCACCAAGCGCACTCTGTTAGCACTCTTTGTCTTTTCAAATCCTGCGGCCGCCAAACAATAAACCGTATGGGTCTGATGTGTTTTTGGGACTTTGCCCTAAAACGGGTGCTTTCCTTTTGGTTTTCCTTGCCGAACAGGTGTACCCACCAAAAAGGTCAAACATCCAGAAACTCGCTCACTGTCCGGTATCCTTTTTTGGGCTGACCGTTGTGGCAAGTTTTGACCGCGGGTTTCAATCTCAAATCAATGGGGTTCAACAAGCCAAGGGGTTTCGCCGAAGCGCGTAGGAAGCGTTTGGTGCGCTGCCTTTTGCGACGTTGCCCCAGGCAAATGCAAATGGGCACCTGCCTTCTTGAAGAGTACACTGATCGTACCGGTCTGTGGCCCCATGTGCAGTGGCCGTACAAGGGCACCTGCCTCCAAATACCAGGTGCAGTTTAGCTGAGGTCAGTTTCCACGAAGAAGGTGAGCGATTGAGTTGCGACTCTTCTTTGCTCCGAAAGGTTGGGAGCTGGAGGGAGGGAATCTTTTTTCGTTCCTTGCGTCTGTGATTTGGTGAGGGAAGCAGAAGGGGGAGTTTTCTAAGTCCAAGTCCAATGTTGACACATACTTGTTGGGTCCATATCCAATCTTAACAACCAAATGGTATTCAGCTCTTTTTTCATCCGCCGCTCGCTCAGGCAGCAAGGCGTGGATCCTAGGGGAGCCTGTGCTCCGGAAGTACTACTCTGCCTACGACTGGAAGAACCAGCCGGGGGCCCCTGGTTCATTATGGGATGCCCTCCCTGCTTCCCCAAAACATCCATGTGCTTAAGTTGTTTGTTCTTTTAGTTTCCCTTGTTTGGTTTATATTTGTTAGTTTCCTTAGAACAGACAACACAAGACATAGGGAATCTGTCACGACTGCGCATTCTTCTCCAAGGGACTTAAAGCAAATGTCAAGAAGCCAATCCGCCCACTCAAGGGGATCGATCCCATGCCGGGGGGTGTCTTTGGTTCATCCCCGCGTGTGGCGGAAGATGTGTTGTTGTTGTTGTTGTTGTTGTTGTTGTTGTTGTTGTTGTTGTTGTTGTTGTTGTTGTTGTTGTTGTTGTTGTTGTTGTTGTTGTTGTTGTTGTTGTTGTTGTTGTTGTTGTTGTTGTTGTTGTTGTTGTTGTTGTTGTTGTTGTTGTTGTTGTTGTTGTTGTTGTTGTTGTTGTTGTTGTTGTTGTTGTTGTTGTTGTTGTTGTTGTTGTTGTTGTTGTTGTTGTTGTTGTTGTTGTTGTTGTTGTTGTTGTTGTTGTTGTTGTTGTTGTTGTTGTTGTTGTTGTTGTTGTTGTTGTTGTTGTTGTTGTTGTTGTTGTTGTTGTTGTTGTTGTTGTTGTTGTTGTTGTTGTTGTTGTTGTTGTTGTTGTTGTTGTTGTTGTTGTTGTTGTTGTTGTTGTTGTTGTTGTTGTTGTTGTTGTTGTTGTTGTTGTTGTTGTTGTTGTTGTTGTTGTTGTTGTTGTTGTTGTTGTTGTTGTTGTTGTTGTTGTTGTTGTTGTTGTTGTTGTTGTTGTTGTTGTTGTTGTTGTTTGTTGTTGTTGTTGTTGTTGTTGTTGTTGTTGTTGTTGTTGTTGTTGTTGTTGTTGTTGTTGTTGTTGTTGTTGTTTGGTTGTTGGTGTTGGTGTTGGTGTTTGGTTTGTTGGTTGTTGGTTGTTGGTTGTTGGTTGTTGGTTGTTGGTTGTTGTTGTTGTTGTTGTTGTTGTTGTTGTTGTTGTTGTTGTTGTTGTTGTTGTTGTTGTTGTTGTTGTTGTTGTTGTTGTTGTTGTTGTTGTTGTTGTTGTTGCTTTTTTTGTGGAAGGGAGCTGGGGATGGGCGGCATGAGGGGTGAGTGGCATTCTCCGCGAAGAAGGTGCTGGGAGAAAGGGGCGGAGAACCCAAGCAACCGCTTAGGTCGGGTGCTCCTGGTGGCATGACCTGGAATCGGTTGATTTCTTCCTCACTTGCCAAAATTGAGCTGACATGATCATGACCATAGGTGTCCTTTTTGGTTGTTTTGCTAGAAAAATAGATGGCCCTGGTTTACCTGGTGGTTTAATCATCTACCAGGGCCATTTATTGCCCCTAAAAGGACACCTATGTTCATGACCTTGTTGTTGGTATTTGAGTGTGGGTGTTTGTTGCACCACGGCCCTTCAACACTGCCCAACGGCCTTTCAAATCACATATTGCATCGTGAAGCCCCATCCTCCACGTTCTTTTCTTAAATGGCAGTTTCCAAGTGCCTTCATCTTTGTTTTTCATCGTGCTTTGGTTCCACCTTGCCGGCTTGTTCTCTGGGCCTTTTGCGGGGTGGGGGTGTGTGTATACAGACCACACAAAAAAGCAAAAGCTTGGCTCCCTCAAGAGACCTGCTTTTTTTTTTTTTTTACTTTTGTCTGATAGATACACACTTTGTCATGTGTTCTTTTCTTAGTATTTTTCTGGTTGTCTGACAAACATGAATGCCACAAGTTTGTCGTGGCTTTCCAACTGCCTTTGCTATGGGCCTGTTTTCATAGCCCACAGCCCGCTACCAACTGCCAACTACCCAAAGTCAGGTGGTTGGATTGGTGGGTTTTATTGAGGGTTATTCCAAGATGGGGGGGGTTCCAGGCTTCAGAAAGTGCATTTCAGCTGTATTTTGTGTTTTGCTTGTTCTCACTTTGACCAAGTGAGGGTTCCTGAAAAAACAACACAAGGGGAATCCAAAAAAGAGGATGGGCAATGGGTGTCCCTTTGGTTTCCCTTTAAAGCAACCCCGAACTTGGCGGCTAATGTTGACCCCATATGAATAAATCCCTGCTTATTTTTCTACTGGGGGTGCTGCCCTTCAAACGTCATGAATCGCCACTGAAACAACCTGTTAATAAACTGGCTGGTTGCTGAGGGGGTCAACATTACACAAACTGGGGCAAACCCTGAGAACTGGAACGAGTGTTCCCCTCCAAAAGTGGTCGGCTAATGCTAACCCCATATGAATCGACCCCTGTATTTTTTTCTGAGGGTGCTCCCCTCCAAACGTCATGAATCCCCACTGAAACAACCTGTTGATAAACTGGCTGGTTGCTGAGGGGGTCAACATTACCCAAATGTTGACCCCAAAAGAATCAAGCCCTGTAAATATTTTTTCAATGGGGCTGCTCCCCTAACGCCATGAATCCAACTACTGAAAGCCCGTGGGCCGCGCCTCAAAAAACTGCCTCTGGCCCCAGCTTCGCGGACCGACGGACCGAGGCGGATCGGCTTTGCGGAGGCGGTGCAGCCGCCGGCTGCGGCGCAGGGCGAGAAGCCGCGGCACCGGGCGGGGGGCCCAGGGCCGCGAGGGTGGGGGGGGTTGGGGGGGTGGGGGTTTGGGGGGGTGGGGGGGTGGGGGTTTGGGGGGATGGGGTTTGGGGGGATGGGGTTTGGGGGGGTGGGGGGGTGGGTTGGGGGGGTGTCAGCGGCGAATTTCCATGGATGCGGGTTTAAGACTTGCAAGAAATGCGCAACAGCCAAGGCAGGCCCTTGGCAAAACACCAGCAGTTGGTTTCACTACGAATGTCAATTGGTGATACAGGCGGTCGAAGGGAACAACTCGCCCAGGTTCAAAATCTGAAAACCAGGGTTCCTGGGCTTGCCACAGAGGGAGTGCTCAGGGTAGGGCTTACGCCCCGGCACTCGCAGGTGGAAATGTTGTAAGGAAACGACAAGCCTACTGATGGACAAGATCCACTTCGCGCCAGGGATGGATGAAATGTTAGGTAAACTGGGACAAAGCACCCACCTGGTGCAGGATTCTCTCCACCCACAGTATGATAGGATAAACCAACCCATCGCTCACTATTCTTCCCAACTGACACTTGTCTCTGTGGGAAAAATATTTGAAACTATGTTTGCAACTTTCGGTTCCCAAGAAGCATCCAGAAGAAAGGTCGGACCAACTCTCAACTCGCCCGATTTTCTGGGTCATATGACAATCACATTACAAAGCCTTGTGGTTGCACAGGGCTCCTTAAAAGATACATTTTGTCCATTTGAAACATGGCTTTTTCCACCAAAATAAACGGAAACCACCATTTACAAGGCAATGTTCAGGTGTATAATGTAAGGATCTCTGTTGCAAAAACCTTGAATGTCTACGAGCCGTTGCAAAATACGAGGCTGCAGAGGCAGAAGTTAAGTTGCACCGACCTCAAGTACGCACCACTTGGAAACCATGGTTGAAACCAGTGTTTGTTTGTATTTACGGGGGGATCGACTCATTCCAGGGTTTCTTGGGTGCATGGATTTCGCAACCATCCACAGTATGTTGGTTGTTCCTGCAGGGCCGCTTGCTTCGGCGCGGTGAGTCCTTGGATTCGCCGAAAGCAGCGCCTTGTTGGCAGGTTTTGGTAGGAGGTTCTGCGACCCGGTCTCAGAAAGGCTATAGAAAGGCGTTTGTGGGTCTGTCTTTTTTTAGGGGGATTTCCTGGACCCCGCCCAATATATATATATATATAAACACATAAATGGCTGTTCTCCTTTTGGTCCGCCTTAAAAAAGACACCCTTTTTATAATATATCTATATCTATATATACACATTATAAAAAAAAGAAAAACAAAAAACACGTTGGTGGAACGAGTCAATGGGTGAAACGGGCGCTGCTGCTTGGAAGATCTCCGCGGTGAAACGCCCTGAGCAGGGCGTTTCGGTTGGCGTTTTGAGGTGATCGGCGCTCCTTCAGAGGCGCACGGGGAATTGCTGTTTTTTTTTTTTTGGGGGGGGGGTTCGTTGTGGAAATTCAACCACCCCCAGAAATCCGGAGTGCCAGTTTGGCTTGATTTTCAGCTTCGGGATGTGGGCCTTTATGCCGGGTGTGGGGTGGGGTGTGGGGTGGGGCTATGGAGTGCTGCTTAACCTTCTGACCATTTTGAAGGATAGCTGATGTTGGTGGGGTGCCGGATTTCGTCCGTGTACCCAGATTAGAGAGAAGAAGAGGTTGGGAGGAAAGGGATGCCTTTGTTTTGCTGGCGCAACTGGTCTGTAGCTCATCTAGTAAGCGGGGGAGGGACCCGCGCGGGAAACAAAGTCTAGTTTGCAGTCAAAATCCAGACTGTCACATCAGGCCCAGACTGTTCCAGGCGTCGACTAGCCTTTGCTCTCATGGAACTGGCAGCTCTCCTTCTGCGGGGATTCGCCATGGTGGGAGTAATCCTTTTCTGTTTGGAATCCACACAGCAGGAAGCTGGTTTTCCAGGTTGAGTGGGAGGAAGCGTAAGCCTGGTTCTTGCTCACCCGACATCGGCCATGTTTTGTGATCGCCAAGGCGAGTTGATAGCTCACCCAGCGTGGTGCTCCTCCACAATTTGTGTGCGTGTGGTTCTGTTGAGGGCACCTTTTGTTGACCTGGTTTGCGAGGGAACCCACAAGGAAAGCCATAGTTTTAGGGGTCTCTTTGCGAAGCCTCGGCCTCGGGCCTTTCTGCGAATCCGAGACCTGCCGCCATTGCCCCAGCAGGTTTCTCGAGCCCAGCAAACAGGTGTGTCTGAAGATCCGGGACTGCAGGTGTTCCCTTTGGGTTCCCTTAGGAACCCCCCAAAAAGGACAGACCTATGCATGTGGGTCGATCCAAACCCCTTATGTGTGCTGAGGCTACCCCATTGGACAAGTGGTTGGCCCCCCCAAAATTCTAGGGCTTCCTTTTGCAGGTTTCTCAAAATGTTGGTCAGCCCTTTTTCAGTTAGTAGTGAATCAACTTGTATTTTTTCCCCAACTGATGAAAGCTTTGGGGTCTCAGCCCAGATAGGCTCCGGGGTGGTCCGGGGCGGCCCTGAGGTAAGGTTCCACGAGGGTTCCACCAGGGTTCCACGAGGTTCTGCGAGGGCTGCGGGGTGGTGCAAGCACTAAAAAGAGCACCGCATGCTGTTGGGGATATCACTTAAGCTTTTTTTTTGCGGTTGGTAGTTAAACAAGAAGCCCAAAGACCCATGAGTTTGAACACCCACAGACCCATGTTTTTGAGGATCACCCATTGCCAAAGAGATGCCCTGCGCCCCTTCTCAGGAGGTGCCTGCCCCGACCGCCCGGGCCTCGCATTTTTGTGTTCGGCGCGCGAGTCGTGCTGGAGCTGGATCTTTGGGGTGAGCCCAGGAGCCCGTGAAATTCTGTTTCCAGTGGGGAGGCTGCTTTCTGGGGAGCGCCAGAAAATGAAAGAACAACATGGGGCCAGGACCCGATTGGCCTGAATGTGCGAAAGTAAAGCAGGTGTTTTGGAAGGTTTAAACAGAGTGTCCCTGCAACCCTACTTGCAATCAAGGCAATAGATTTGGGCGTCGCGCGGCAAATTTTCACCAGATGTTTGCAGGTTCGAGCCTCGTCAGGAGAGAACGGAGACCCCGAGAAGCTTAGAGCCACGCACAACGCCTAGGAAGGTTCCTTCGCAAGGAATCTTTTTAGGGGGCCTTTGGGTTTTCCCGCATTTTGTGGCGGGTGGGGTGGGGAGCAATGAGCGCGCAAGGTCGTCTACATCTGAGCCAGCGATCTCCGGGCGATCGGCGATCGGCGCGAAGGTAGTTAGCATGGGCTGTATCTCTGGGGAAGCAACCGGAGATATGGCCATTGGTCCTTGAGGCTTCGGAAAGAAGCGACCAACGAAGCAAGGGGCGCCCCGGGCGCCCCGCGACTTTGCGCTGCCTTTGGGCAGGAAAATGGGCGGAGGTTCGGAAGTCTGGAAGGCAAGGGTCAACCAAAAGCAACCTTTTCTTGTTGAGCATCACCAAATTTGGGTTCCAGCATTTAAGATGTCATTGTCAGTGGGCCAAAGCTGAGGTAGATGTGGGGATAGACGCCATGGTTCCTCCCTTTTTGAGGACCCGTCTCAACGGTCCTTGGTCCTTCGTCCCAAAAGTGGTCCAACATGTCAGCTGATGGAGGGGCGCTCCCAACCTGTTGCGTTCCAACTGGGGGTTTTCTTCACCCATGTGTCATTTCGGAAGTTGATCTGGACGCTTTCGAGCTGCCATAGCTTTCATGGCAAAATCATACACGGTGATTCCAATCACCTTCTGGACCAGGTCGGTGATGTGAAAAGATGGGGCGGGACGATGTTCGAAAGGTGTGTGCATGTAAACATGCATTCGTATCTTCACATTGGACGCCTCTGCGTCTTGCTAGCAAGGCGCGAGTCTCCGAGTCTCGAGCCGAGTCGCGGCTTGAGCCTCTCTGCCTCCGAGGTGATGTGCAGGAGGACGAAACAGATCGGGAGACCGGGGTGGGTTGAGCCAAGAAACAAAAAGGAAGCAACAAGGAACCCACGTTCATGGACCCCGCAAGAGAGGGGGGGGCAATCCCTTAACCCCTTAAGCACTTACAAGGGCTTCTTTTTGGGTCATCCAGGGCTTGCTTATGCATAGCCCCTCCCCGCCCCATAGCCCCTAGGGGTTCATGACACATGGAAACCAACTGGGCGTGCCGCTTTTCAGGGGGCCCCAAAATTCCCCCCCCCCCCCCCCCGCAAATGGGTGGGGTGTCCTTGTGTTTTCTTTTAAACTCACAACCCAGGCGGTACCCCAAAAAAGAGACCCAAATGTGTGCGGGGCTTTATCCACTTTCATGGGTGTGGCTCAAAATTGACCAGGAGGGGTTACGCGGGTTTTGGTCCATGTTTCCACTTACCAGGGTTCCATTTTGGTACCGGTATTTTGAGCCACACCCTCATCCCGGTGTAGGCCGCCCTCATGTCGGTTGGGGCAAATCAAAGCGCGAGCTCACAAAGGTGTTGGGTTTGCGAGCGATGTCGCTCGTGCCCTTTCTCCCCCTACTGGTTCTAAGGTTAGTAAGGGGCAGTCCCAGCCAGAAATAGCTGCGGAATTCCGCCTTCTTAATTCTTAAAGCATGGTTCTGGGTAGACCATTTTAATACCGGGGTTTGATTGTGACTCACTTCACCTGGACCAGCGCCGGCTTGACATGAATGGCCCAAGAAGAGATCAGTTGCCCGAAGATCATTCTCCAGCTCCCCCCCGTTGCCCTGTATGGAGCCAAAACGCCCTGAAAACAATGGGAGGGGGGTGGGGTTGAGGGGAGGGCAATTACGCAGCCACGTGCTTCGTTCGCCAACTTGCCAGGATTCTGGCGCCGTGTACCCTTTGCACTCGGCGTCCGCCTCGGAGTGATTGGCTCTGGGCGAGGTCGGAGGCCGCGGTTTGACATTTAAGTGCCAAAGGGGAGAATGAGGTTTATTAGAACCCCCAGGCTGGTTTTGTCAGCTTCTTGCAAGTGGCTTTTTAGGGCTTTGCACGTTTACATCGAGCCCCTGAAATGCGCTGCCTTGGCAAACGGACGGTTTTCGGGGGGCCGGCGTATCTTCCGTGGAGGTGTCTTTGGTGCTTCCGCGGGGACGCAAGCGTTGAAGCCGATCGCGCCCAACAATCACTTGGCGGTTCCCTGGCATACGGTTCCTTAGAGCTTAGATGGATATATTGTTCATACCCGACAAATAGGGAACATTTTTGGCAACAACGAATGTGTTGTTCAGGTCCCCCACGTCCCCAATTCATCTATGAGGTAGGGACTGGACCATTTCCAGTTCGGGCTGGGAGCTTGCTTTCAAAAACATGGGGACGCACAAGGCTGCGCAGAAGTATTAAACAGAAGAAGTCCCAAGCAACCCACGAAGGCTACGGAGAATTCAAAAAAACGTCCAAACCCTACGACCATCTCTCCCACGAAGCCCCCCAAAGTCGAGTCTTATTTTGAGGGGCATCATCCCCAGTCAGCTCATTTTTTCAGTAACCCCGAGGTGGGCTCAAACTCGGGGCGATCGATTTCCAAGGGATCGTACCCTCAGCTGGAGCAAGCAAATGGGTACAGATGGGTACAGCCCCCCCCAAAAGTACAGTATGCCCCACTTGATTTCCCCACCTCCCCCCCCACCCCCCCCCCACCCAAAAGAGACAGGTGGAAAGGACACAAGAAGAGTCTCCCCCAAAAAAGCGGGCGGTTTCAACCGCCTAGATAATTACCCAAGCAGGCCAGTTCTTCGAGCCCAACTGGCACCGGTGGGGTTTCGGGTTTCGCTGGGTTGCGGTTTCGTTGTCAGGTGGAGGGCCAGATGCGGCTGGCCGGGGACCTCTCCTTCCACCTCCGGGACTACGAGGCGCCGAGGGGCGCGCCTCGGCGCGCGAAAAGCGAAGAAGTTTTCGTGGGGCGAAAGGAAGGGGCGATCGATGAAGGGTACGTCAGGTAAGTGGTGAGAGTAACCATGGTGAGTTATGACCCACAAAAGACCCCATGGTTATAAGTCTACGGTGAGTGGGTTATAACTCGCCATGGTTACTCCAGCCACTTGCCTGACGCACTGAGTCAATCGCCCCTTTAAGTACCCTTTCCACCGCAAGGCAGTTTCGGTTTGGAGCCCAGCGAATCGTTGGGCCTGCTTAACGCCGACCCAAGTGCGTCGTCGCCCGATTGTTTTGGCTTGGGGTGTCAGTTGAAACTTGAATTTCGGATTTGGGATTTCGGATTTCGAGCAAGTTGGGTCCAGCTTCGATTCTGATCCCTCTAAACCCACCTTTTGTGGGACACTTTGTGTTTTCGACTGGCGGAGCACGGAGCGCGCCAGGCTGCTTTGGGCTACTACCGCAATGCGCCCTTGACTGCAATGGCTGCGGGTAGCAGGAACAAGTGCAAATGATAGCGACTAGGAGTAAAATAGTTCCTGAGGAGATTCCTTGTGTCCAGTTGGTGAATCACTGTATTTGCGAAGAGGCAACAGCAACCCACCATGTTGCGGCAGCTTTTGGGGTCGGCTTGGATTCTTCCGGTTTCAGTTGCAACGCCAGAAACATGCTGAAAAAGCAGCCAAGAAATACCATTGTTTGCCAGCTTGGTTCACTGGCCTGCAAAAGACCCATAGTGGTCTACCTCCCCCCTCAATTTCTGACCAGTTCTCCGGTCGAGGGTTCCAAACTAATCCAAGGTGGTCAGCGACTTCAAGCAGGCGCGTTGGGGCTTGGAGGCGTGAAATGAAGGGCTTGCTAGGCGCACGTTTCTTAAAGCTGTCACGACCAAGCCTGGTTTTCAGAGCGAAAAAAGGCATGGTTGAACCCATGGTTTGACCAAGGAGTCGGGCCTAAACCAGGCTTGAGCTGGGGTACAACAGGAGTTTACATGGCTGGTGGTTGCATCACTCCCCACGGAAATTGATGTCCACCAATGGCTCCCCAATCAAAACTAGACCCATAGTGACGAAAACATGGGGTCCGTTGATACCCTGTGATTGAGTTTTGTGTTTGAAACCAGGCAACATGAAGACCACACAAGTGACCTCTCAGGTTGCGAACTGTCGTGGCTTCTTCTGAATGGACTCAGGGCTCCTTTCGGAACCACCTGAGCCGTGAAGGTTTAGACACGTCTTCGCCTAAAAATCCGAGTCTTGGAGTAGAATGAGTAGAGACTTTGGCCCACGACCCGACTGCCAGCGTGAGACCGAGACCATGAGACCATTCGACTTCTCTTCCATATTATAGGTGTGTCTGCTCTTTTGCCATGACACGCCGTTGATGGACAGCATTATGCACCAAATGTGTGTTTGTGTGATTGTGTGTTTGTGCGTCTTGTTTTGGTTTGTTTGTTTGTTTGTTTGTTTGTTTGTTACATTTTTTGTTTGTTTGATTGATTGATTGATTGATTTCTTGATTGTTTGTTTGTTACATTTGTTTGTTTGTTTGTTTGTTTGCTTGTGTGTGTGTTGTTTGTCTGTCTGTCTGTCTGTCTGTCTGTCTGTCTGTCTGTCTGTCTGTCTGTCTGTCTGTTTGTTTGTTTGTTTGTTTGTTTGTTTGTTTGTTTGTTTGTTCGTTTCTTTGCTTTGCTTTGCTTTGCTTTGCTTTGATTTGTTTGTTTGTTTGTTTGTTTGTGTGCGCTTGTGCGTGTGTTTTTCTCTACTTAGATGCCTCCTTCGTCCCCAGTGCGCAGCGGATTTCGTCCGCATCCGTGGCGACCTTTTTTGGGGAACGCGCAGGACAAGAGTTGGAAGCACGCCGCCGGCGCCTATGAGATGTGAGGGGCTCAGAATCTCGACTGAGGAAGAGCAATGCAAAGAATCCGTTGTTCTGGGTGTTGATTCCTTGTCCATTCTTTGCAACCATCGTTCTTTTCAAAAACCAACCGCCGTTTTCCCTGGGATTCTGGAGGTTTTTGAGAAAGAAGGATCCCTGGAAAGAATGGAATTGGAAGGTACCCCTAGAATTGTTCTGGATGGCATGGGCTTGAAAGGAAACCACAGGGACACCCGCCCCAGGAGGGGTTTTGAAGGGAAGCCACAAGAGCCGCCGTTTTTAGTCAGGCCCCAAGTGGACACACTGTGGATGGACAAAATCCTGCACCACCTAAGAAATCCTGGAATGATGATTCCCCTGCAAATACCAACAAACCATGGTTTCCCATAGATTCAAATTGGTGCAGGATTTCATCCATCCACAGCATGAGCCAGGTTGGTCTGCGCTTAGCGGTAAAGAAGCGCTCGACAGGTGACAATTGTTTCTTCCATATCGGCGCTCGGCCAGAAACTGCCGCAGTTAAGATCTGTCAGAAGGGCTGGCCTTTCGATACTTTCCTTCCATTTACTTAAGACTATTTTTTAGTTTTCCCCCTGGTCTCAAAGGGACTCGATTTCACTGGACATATGTCATTCTTTCCTGAAGGCTCGAGCAAATGGAGTTGCTTTGGTTGAACATTGGCTTCTGCCAGGTGGGGACTGTGCACCTACATCACCAACGGGGCGCGGAGCGCCGGGCTCCCAGAGATAGAATTGAGTGGTCAGGCTGGGATTTGCTTCGTGGAAGCGCGGAGGCTTGGGGCCAGAGGCAACATCGGCTGTTTGGGGGAAGCTGAGGTACATGTAGGAAGGTGGAGGCCTACAATGAGAAACAAGTTGATGCTTTTTCGGTACATGGTGAATTGTGGTGTCAATTGCACTGCGTTTGGCCGACGTATGGCCCGATGTTTCTTCTCATAGCTTCCTGGGATGGGGAATGCTCCGCTTGCACACCATGCTGTTGGGTTGCTTGGCGGACTGGTCCTGCTTTTCCTAACCACGGGGCTTGACTTTGAGCTGCTGCTGTCTAAACAACAGAAGCGATGCGCATGAGCCTGAGCGATCCTGGAAGCTGGCTCACACTTCTTGGCCGCCGTTTCGCGCATGAAGCGCCGCAAAAACAGGCAAGCCCATGGTTTTGGATGGTTGGCGTCCGATTCCTATGGGAAGACCTGTTTGGGGGCACCCTTTCATAGAGAACCTCCTTTTCTCATTCCCTGTTTATCGATGTAAGTTAAACTGTTAAACTGTCCTGAGTTCCTGAACTTGGGGTTGGACCATGTTAGTGGTAAATGAACACTTTGGACTCTTTTTGGCCCACAAAGGAAAGTGAGAAAAGGGACGCCAAGAGGAGACTCTGCGCCACTTCCATTTGCTTACGGATACGTTTTTTTCTTTTCTTTTTCCCCCCCCCCCCCCCGGTTGGTTTTACAGGGAATCCACTGTGGATGGACGAAATCCTGCACCACTTTGAAACCATGCAAAACCATTGTTTGTTGGTATTTACAGGGGAATCATCCTTCCAGGGTTTCTTGGGTGGTGCTCGGCCATCCACAGTATCACTACGTGTTTTTTCTGCCAGGCGAATCAGCAACTCGTCGCCGCGTCGTCCCTCTCAGCACCACCCACAAAACCCGAGAGGAGTGGAACCGGTGCATGGAGAGCGCCTATGAGCACTACCTGCAAGCCTCCTCCAGTCGCTTGGCCATGCGCGCCGGGAGCCCCAAAAATGGCTGTGGTGGTCGAAACCGTTTTGGGATCCCATTTTGGGTAGGTGAATTCACCCATTTGAGAACCTATTTTAGTGGTTGGATTGGAACATTCACTGGGGTACGATTTGGATTTTGACCCATGGCCAAATGGTTGGAGCCGGTTGAGGAGCCGGGCTAAAGAGAAAAATCGCTGGTGGGTGTGTCGTGTTTGTTTTAGTGGACCCCCTGAAGATGGTGGTGTTCCTTTCATTTTCCTCTGAACACCAACCCCCCCAAAAAAGCACCCAAATATGTTGGTTCCCCCTTGTGGACACCAAAACCCGGGTGTCGAAAGAGTGTCTTGAAGTTTCAACAAGTTGCTTCGGCGCACAAAATTCGAATGGGAGTCTTTGGGTGCTTTGGGTGTTTGCGAAAGACATGGGGGGAGCTTGCCCTAAACAACACATGTGCTTTGAGGACACCGCACATGTTGATGGTGGCTCACGCTGGACAAGGATTTTTTTCTTGGTTGAAGCGACAGCCAAGGGGGCAGGTTGCATGTAGCTCATGTACCCCTAGTCCTTTGCAGCTTGCTTGCAACCCCCGTGGGAAATCCCGTACCTGCATGCTGCCCCAAGAGTCGTCCAGCACCTTCCGATCACCAGCTATGCGAGGAAAGCTACCTTTTCCGCCAACGAATTTGGACCGCCCCCCTCTACAAACGGATTGGGTTTGGGTCCCTTTCTTTATTTTCCGCAGGCCTACAATAGTGGCTTGAGTGCCCCTTCATTTGAAGAAGTTAGTGTTTTTTGTTGGAGGGCACCCTGTTCACCTCGCGGTTTCCCAAAAGGAAAGCCACTGTTTTTGGGGGTTTGTGCCACTATTTTGGAGCCACATATGACTGCTATTGGGTTGGATTTTTGGACTTTAACTTTTTGGTTGAAATCAAGTTGGGGTTTTCCACTAACCCCCCAAAAAGTGAAAAACGTTTTGCAGGGGGCTCGTTGCAGCAACCAAGGTGTATGAGCGCCTTCCTGGGTTCCACCTTCGTCTGCTTCTGCTAACGCTGAGGCGTTGGTGCTGCACCAGGCCATGGTCTGCGATCTGCGAGACGCCGCTCTGCGGCTGATGAAGGCGGAGGGGTGGCGGAGGGCGGAGGGGCGGCGGAGGGCGGAGGGGCGGAGGGGCGGAGGGGTGGGGTTGGCTGGGGGGGTGGGGTTGGTTGGGGGGTTGGTTGGGGGGCGGGAGGGGATGGTTGGGAGCCTCTTTGTTGTGGTGGGGTGTGTGGACACAGTTTTAGAGAATGGCGGGAGGGAGGGGGGGCATTTCCCTGCTCGAGGCGATCGATTTGCGACTGAAGGGAAACCCTGGTTGCAAATAGCCCAGTGACCCTGTTGTGACCGAGGTTGTAACTAGGGTTACCAACCACTTGCTAAGTAGCCTGCCTCCCTAACTGCTTCTTTAGCGGGGGGGGGGGGGGTGGACATAGTCGTGGGAATACGCTCTGGTGTTTGGTTGCCACCAACCTCCAAAATGGCAATGGAATATCCAAACCAACAAACAATAAATGCGCGGTAGCTTATCGGGCGTCCCTTGTTGCCCTTCCATTTCCCTTTGCACCCACCGTGCAAAGGGAATCAATCTCTTTGACAGCGACCAAGCAATATTGGCCCATCTCGGTACAAGCGCCCAACACCAGAAGAGGGGGGCATTCCAGGGCTCTACATCCTTGGGTTCATTGGGGTTAAGGCCACGGATTTCTTTTGTACTCATTCGGATTGTCATCAGTTTTCATGCACTGCCCATTTAGGTTTCCTCAGAAAGTTCGGAGGCTTGGCGGAAGCTCCTCACACTTTTCGGAGAGTCAGGTTGGACCAAGCTGCGGCTGCAAATGGCAACGCTTCTCTTGACTTCACTGTTCTTGGCATTTGTTGTTTTTGTGTTTTCTGGTTCTGTTCATTTTTAGTAGGGGGCTGCAAACATCAGTCAGTTTTCTGCAAGCTCATACCGTTCGGGTGAAGATGAGTCTTGGGGTATCACCCCGGACGCGGCGAGTCCTGCGCCGAGTTTCGAGTCCAGGTGAACGGCGACTTGCCGGACAACAACCTCCGCAACGCGCTGATCCTGGAGCAGGAGGGATGGTCGGAGGGTTCGCTGAAAGCGGCACCCAAGGCCCAAAAACGATTTGCGACATGGGCTGCGGAGCAGCCGCTAGATGATCAACGCCTGTTTTGGTCCCAACATGTCTACCCTTGTGCCGTCTGCTCTACTTTTGAGGGGCGTCCGCAAATGAGCGTGGCTTGCTACTCAAAGTGCAACTTGCACTTAGCAAGCATACATGCCAGCCCGCGAATCAAGCGGCTGGAAAAGGTAAGCCCGCTCCCGGACAATTGTTGAATATGCGCGACGAGCACCCTGAAGTACGGGTACCGCAACCTTCATGGGGGGGACATGGGTGTGTCTCAAAATGGACCCCCAACTTTTTCTTCTTCGTTTTTAAGGGTACCCCCTTTTTGGTGGCAAAGGGGAACCAAGAAAAACAAAACATATTTTGGGGGGGGTCCCCTCAAAAAAGACACCCGCCATGGGCGTTTTCCTTTTGGCTTCTGATTGAGACAATACCTCAAGCATGGGAGGCCGGGCAGCTCTATCACGCCAGCGGCTCACCGAGGAGCGAAGACGGGGACGGGGGCGGATGGCTAAATTGGGTTGAATCGTTTCCCGATACAACACCCCCTGCTGTGCAGCTATTTTTTGCCAGTGGTGCCTTTTACCAACTTTTTTCGCGGAGAAAAAGTGTACCCGTATTCTAACCTCTCTACCGGAAAACCTAGTGGGGGTTGATCCGAGTTTTGAATGCCGAACGGCAGCTGTTTCTCTCTTGTCTATTGGTGTCCCGCTTGCGGATTAGGATTAGGGCTCCCCTGTTTTGAACAGCCCAGTCTTGGCTGCCAGCGGGTTGGCTGGCGCTTGATGGTGGTACATTCTGAGCAGCAATTTGGCATATGTGTTGTATCACTTGACCTCCCCTGACAAAAACAGCGGATCATTTGGCCACTAGCAGAAAGCTTGAAGGCTTAAACCTTTCAAGGCATGGCTTGGACATACGATCCACCAGGCTGCAGCTATCGACAGCTCTGCACGACTGGAGGTTTTACATCGGGAGGTCATCAACAGAAACCTTAAAGGGGCAGCCCTTGTCAAGATTTGCCTGATTCTCTTGAAGGCACAGGTGGTTGGGCCCACCTTGTGCAGGGGATATTGTCGTCAGATCCGGAGGGTGGTGGTGTGACATTTACCCTTTGTTCGCTCGGATGGATGTGGAATCGGTCTGCGCAGTGAGTCGGGCCCGCATGAGTTGAATGTTCGGCGAAAGATCGGGTTGGGGACAGGCGGCCAAGGTGTTTCACACTTGAAAAGCCCAGATGTGCTTGTTGAAACCCAAATGTCCCCCATCCTAGTCCACTTTGGGCTGTTTGGTTGCGACGGGGTGAACCCCCCGCAGGTATAACGCCGTCCTTGTTGGTTGCGATAGGGTTTGACGAACCCCCGCGGGTCTGAGGCCGTCTTTCCTTTTTTCTCTTCCCGTTCCTGCGAGGAAGGGTGCCTTTCACCTGGTGCTGGCAGGGCACACCTACAACAAGCTGGGCTTCAAAAGGCGGCGGGGCTGGGCGGGTGGGGTGGGGCCTTTTCGGCCTGGGCGTGTGGGCGGGTGGGGTGGGGTGGGTTTGCCACAGAAAGACATAGGGCCGTGGGGCCGTGGGGAAGTTTTGAAGTAAATGGTTTGCCTTTCCCATTGTTTGTGGTTGATAAATCAGCAGCCTTGCTGGTAGTGTAGAAACCCTTTTCAAGGGCTGTTCATTTCAGTGGTCCCGCAGGCCAGTTTGTGATGGTGCTTTGGTGCGCCCTTCGCCATATAAACCATTTAGGAAACAACCACCTTCTCACCAAGTCGCAAACAATCACTTTTTGTGGAAAGTTCAGTTCGACCAAAATAGTTTGCATGGGAGGGTCCTTAGGCTGCGGGTGCATGCCAAAGCGGGGGTTACAAGGTCATTTTTAAGAGTGTGCTCCAGATTGTGAAAAAGTTGGCGACGCCCAAACAAGCCTTTCTCCCCCGCCCCAGCGACCCAATGGCCTGTGAAGGGGCAATCCCATTTCATCCGATGCCGTGAGAAAGGGACCTGGAGCACCCGCTGGCAAGGGTGTGTTTATTTGCAGGGGTCCAGAGGTAAATCGTGGTTTGGAAACTCGAAGCGTCCATGGCTCGACAAGTCCTTTTTTTGCCGGGGCCGGGGGTTGGGGTTCCGGCGCTTGGCTTCCTTCCCGCAAAACCGTCCTCAAATTCCCCAGTTCGGAGCCAGCCACCGATCAACTGTGACTGCTTCGATCTGTTCTGGAATCGCTTGTGAACATTGTTTTACGTTGGCTCAAAAACCGGCACCAAAATGGACCCCTGGTAAGTGGAAATATGGACCAAAACCTGCGCAACCCCTCCTGTTTAATTTTGAGCCACACCCATATGGACCAGAATCAAACATTTGATTTT